AGGCGGGGGGGGGCCGGGGGGGCCAAAATTAAATTTTTTTTTTTTTTTGGGGGGGGGGGGGGGGGGTGAACTCGTGCAAACCAATGCCGTAGTCTTTGGAATATTGACGTCGAATCCCTACAATGCACCGGGACGGAGCGACATGCTCAGTTTCCGCTGGCCGAGGCTGCGTTTGAACCAGAAGATAAGGTGCCGGGCGGGGGGGGGGGTGTGTCGAAACATCGTCACAGCGCGCATGAGAATTTTATGCGCAATGGATGCTCCTGCTACATGCGTGTATGTCAAGATCCAGAAGAGAGTGTAGGATTACGAATCTCGGTGCATGAATGGCGTCCCCAGCAAGGGGTAACTCTGCGCGCACGACGGAACGAAAAGGGGGGAAGAACGGAAGAGGTACATATGTACCTTGGGTAGGGGTTTGCCGAAAGATACACACCACCACGTAACGTATGTTATATTCTTCGCGCTGCTCTTCATCTCGCGGGACATGTCATCCTTTCATGAACCACAAGGTTAAGGACAGCTCTAAAGCATATGTATGAAGAGTGCGATTTTGTGCAACCCTTTCGAGGTTGGTTTCTTGCCTTGCAGAGTGCTGTACGGCACCAGCACGAAAGAAGAGGACATCGGGTATCCGGGAACGGTTCGCTTAATCGATGGGGGAGGCGTTAAAGATACGCAAGACAACACGTTAGATATTCTTGGCGCTGCTCTTCATCTTGCGGGACTTGTCATCCTTCCATGCACCACAAGGTTAAGGACAGCTTTGAAGAGTGCGATTTTGTACAGCCCTATCGAGGTTGGTTTCATTCCTTGCAGAGTGCTGTACGGCACCAGCACGGTAGAGGAGGACATAGGGTTGTTACAGAAAAGCTTGTTCGATGGGGAGGCGATAGACGATACGCCAAGACACGTAGATACCAACACCCATTATTTCTTGCCTAAATAACACACCACTGGCACGTGGCCATCAAACTTGAAGGAGAGCGGATATAGGTGCACATCGAGGCAAAGCAAATGTTTGGTTCAGGTTCGACCTCTTTCTCTCGCTCTGTGTTTTTGTTCACTTCATTTATAGATAATCTGGTGCTATAAACAGTCTACACGCCTGCATTTACGCGGTGTGCTGTTGTATGCATATAATTCAGCAGGGGGGGGTCGTGACCTGCCGAGTTTAAAAATTCAAAACAACTTTCGCTGAAGCTATGGGTTCATTGCTAATCTATCTTAGACTTTTTCTGTAGATAGAGATGGATTTATTGGGTCATCGTAAGAAAAAAAAAAAAAAACGAATGCACGTGTTCACGACAAAAACATTGATAGATACCGACGAGACCGCAACAGCTGCTACACCTACCGTGGGTACTCCGAGACATGAGATCATTGGTCTAGTCTATGATTTCCACGCGCTCAGCTTCCCCGATCGGCTATTGTACGGAGTGACAGCAGCGTGGCAGGCAGAGAGAGGAGCGCGACAGGGAAACAGCCCTGGGCGACCAGGGGGATCTAAATTACAAATTACTTGCTTTATTGGTTATTCGGACCGTTCAACCCCCATGCCCCCATCCATGAGCGGAACGGTAGCACAGCAATCAACAAGCCTCGCCTAGTCGGCAACGGCGCGGGGGGAAAATGATTTGAAAGTCGAGAGGAGGCCGCGCGCTGCCGGGAGGCGCTCGTTGCTGCACTACTCTCTGCCCCGCTACCGCTGCAGCGATGCTGAATCCGCAGTACAGCAGTATAGACGTACACTCACAGTTGCTGTACATTTGCACGCGAAAGATTGTACGAGGATTAGCAGCGCCTCCCACCTCCTTCTCCCAGCGACTGCGGAGAGCGGTCGCCATGGCGGCGCACGCTACAGACCCCTCCCATCGGCGAGAGCGGGGGTCTTGAAACACCGCAACAGCAGCAGCAGCAGCAGCAGCGGCAGCAGCAGTAGCACTGCACCGGAGCCTCGTCCAGTTGAAGCAGCGGCGAATCTTCGTCACGAAAGCACCGGAGTGTAGGAAGAGAGGGTTGAGAGTTACCTCGCAGAGTGCCGGGGGGGGAAAGTCTTGAGGATCGCACGCTGGCAAGCAAGCACGGGCTTTCTTTTATCCCGCTCCGCGGTCACTTCGTCTCCTCAGTATCCTCTGCTGCTGCTTGTACCTGCTGTGTGAGTTTAAAAAACGGAGCAAGTTGAAGACAAAAGTTGCGCAATAGCACCTCTTTTTCTCCGAGGGTTGGCCGTTCTTCCAAGGAGGACCGGGATCTACTCTGGCCACGAGGTATCTCTTTGGCCGAGATTGTCGGCCGTCAGCAGCCCAGGCGCTAGCCTCTCTCCCTCTCTAGCTCTCGGTTGTCCTTGCTTTCAGCTAGCTGAGTTGTTTGTTGGGGTGTGCTTTCCGTCCCAGACCAGACGTCCTACATTCCACCCGCAGATGGGAATTCGGATTGTACGTGGGGGACTGCACCAGGATACTGTACCACAAAAAAAAAAGAAGGTTTACCCGTTTTCGTGCTCGCGCCTCGCGCCCCTCTCGAGTTCCTCTTGCAATGCATACATCTGTCCTTTCCACGCGCTGTCTCTGCGCCCAGGCCTGGATCCCTCCTCTCCTTGCATTAAAGCAAGCAAGAACGCCGGGGGCGCACCGGGTCTCTTTGCCCAACAGATCTCGTACTGGGATCCAACACAACAGGCAGTTCGTTTTGGATCCAACCATACACACACGAAATATATTTCGTAGCGGTTCCAACCTACAGCAGTTCGTTTTGGATCCAACTATACATAACAATCACCACTCGTTATTATTTCGTCTTCTTCGCCAACGGCATGCTTTTACGCATACCTATAGCACAGACACAACAACAGCGGTTGCACCACAAGGCCATCGATGTCATTCCCGAGTTTGTTCAGATTTCTTGCAGAGAAGAGAGAGGGTTTTGCGGAGATGCGAGGTCGGCACCGTATTCGACAGAGTTGTATGTAGCAGCAGGGTTGGTTTCAGCTATGCTGCGATTAATATCGTATCATGTCATCATGTGTTTGAGTTCGGAGCAGAGAGATGCCTCTGAATCACAAGAACCGAAACAATCTTGACCAACAGTTAACACATACATATGCATCCACCTTTCTGCTGAGAGAAAAACGTCCCATGCTGACGTGAACACGAAATATCACATCCCACCATGCTCGGCCTTCCTGACATCCCATTTTTGGTGTCGCAGCAACATCTACTTTCGATGTGCCTCATCCTGAGGCACCACCCGAACGAGTGAGGTTCATTGTTGAACTCCTGTCTGTCCCTCTCCATACTTCGTGAGGTGGTTCATCGTTTGCGTACTCAGCAGTAGTAGCAACATGGGCGCGCAAAGGCCACAATTTTATTTCCACGCTCTGCTACAAAACTGCTAGCCATCCACCCACGTCCTTCCGGTTCCCGAGAGCCCAACTTCCCGGAGTTGGTGCTGCCAAATTTCAAGAGCACATCCCATAGGTGAAAGCCTCCCCTACTCGATGTCTTTTTCCGTGGGAGCAGAGCGTGTCTGTCCTCAGAGAAATTTCCGTCAAAAATAGGCAAACCGCGCAAACACAACAATTAATCCTACCAAAGGAACAGCCTCGTACACAGACAGACGTTTAAACTAGGCGGGTGTAACCCGAGATACTCTCGCGTGTCAAGGGTAAATAACGTCTACAGTAGTCGCCGCTAGCCAAACGCAGCCAATCGGCAAAGCCGAAAGAAAAACAACAAAACAGCTGATCTCTTCAGCATAACTCAGCCTTCCAGAAACAAAAAACAAACAATAGATTACAACGATTTCACCCCGTGTCCCGCTGAAGCACTCAACACAAACACCATCCACTTCCGCGCGCGCAAAAAAAAAATCCACCAAGGAAGAAACAAAACGTCACCCACGACATGTTCAATAATGACCAGCTAAATCTTTTCTACACAGTCTTTGAGTGGTCATCGGCGCGCGGCACGGTAGCCTATCGAACAACTCATGCAACCGACCGGTGCAAGCACCAGCAGCCCCCTGCCCCCCAAGGCTGGCGGAGTTATCATGCCCTCTGGGGAGGGACGTCCAGTTGCATTGCCTTCATCGTCTTCACGTGTTCCCATTCGTCATTGCGAACCTGCGCGATTCGGGGGGGGGGGGGGGGTACTAAGGGGCTGAAAAAATTTGGGACAGGGGGGGGGTCCCGTGGACCCCTATATGAAACAAAAAAAAACACCCCCGGGAAAAAATTTTTGAGTTTTAAAAAAAAAACCCCCGGGGGGGGAACCCGGGGGGGGGGGGTTATCTTGGGTACCCCCGGGGGGAAAATGCAACTCCCAGGGGCCCCCAAAGGGGGGGGAAAAAAAAAGGGGGGGGAAAACCCCTCCCAAAACCCCCAACGTGGGTTTGGGGGGGTGAAAAAAGAGGGGGTGTGAAAAAAAGGGGTGTGATAACCCCTCCCAAAAACCCCCACCTGTGCTTTTGGGGGGGAAAAATAAAGGGGTGGGAAAAAAAGGGGGGTGA